TGATTAGTAATATGCATTGCTAAGAACTTCATTTGGACAACTTTAAAGGCGATTTTTTTAAATTATTTTTTTTGCACCCTCAGATTCCAGATTTTCAAATAGTTGTATCTCTGCCAAATATTATCCTAACAAACCATACATCAATGGAAAGCTGATTTATTCAACTTTTTGATGATGCATAAATCTCAATTTAAAAAAATTGACCCTTATGACTGGTTTTGTGGTCCAGGGTCACATATGTTGTGCATTAGAAGAAGGAATTTCATCGGCTGGAGGAAGTGTTTTTACTGGAACACCTGCAGCAGAGCGTCGCTTTCCTGTTGTTGAGCTCAGTTTCCTTTCAGTGAACGCTGCATTGCATTCGCCGTGATGATTTATTCATTCAGTCTCTCTCAGTGACACTGAGTTGTGCTGGACTGGTGATCAGGTTCAGCTCCGCTCCGAACACACACATAAACACACACACACCGCCTGCAAAGTTTGTTTGGTCAGTCGGGTCTTTTTTTAGATATTTCCAGCCCGGAGCTGAAATTAGTTTGACCCTGGAGTCTATATCAGGCGCGGATAAAGATAGGCAGGAAATCCCTGTTGAGGGAAGCGCACATCATCACCGCAGATATTAATAGGTTTGTTTCAGAGCTGTTGACGTGCTAATGACAGCAGCTTCCTCCTGTCCGTCTGAGTCACGGCCACGCCCCCTTCTGCTTTCCAGCTACACATGACAAAACCCGCAGTCACACACACACACACACTCGCACTCACTCACTCACTCACTCACACACACACACACACACTCACTCACTCACACACACACACTCACTCACTCACACACACACACACGTCATGTATGAGTAGCCACTACACACCAGTGCTATATGAAGGAACCATTACCACAATGTTTGTATAATGAACTACTGTGTAAATCTATTTATTAAGTATTTTCCTAAATAAAACGTCTCTGTTATGTGCTGTCTGTTCACTGTTCCTCCACATCAAGATTTTAGGCTAAAGTCATCATAAAATACATTATTACTAAATTACACTTTATTCCCATAGTCCAGTATTTACTGAAAACTAACTTTGCAACTACGTCAACTAACTCTTTTTCGAGTATTAGTAGACTTAGGTTATGTTTAGGTTAGGGTAAATATCTAAACATTATTGAATCAAGATGAATTTACTGTACAAGTAAAATGACTTAAGATAGTATGTCTTGCTAAAAAAAAAAAAAAAAAAAAAATGTTAGTTTTTGCTTAAAACAAGCAAATATATCTGCCAATGGGGTAAAACAAATAATCTTAATTCAAAGACTAAACAAGATAATTTTTCTTGCACCATTGGCAGATATGTTTGCTTGTTTTAAGGAAAAACTAACAAAACGTTGATAAATTTAACAAACAAAAAAAACACCAAAAAAAAGTAAGTGTTTATGCTTGACTTAAAATGACAAGTTTAGTTACTTCGGATATTTAAGTTATCTGAACAAATTTCGGAAAATATATTTATAAACTTATGTTTATGTAAAAAATCTTTGACATTAAATGTAGTATCTGAACATATTTTCCCACTCCTTTGCTAATTTTAAGTTAAATGTTATATTTGAATACTTCTGTCATTAAAGCAGAAACGTTTGACATTTGAATTTGATTATTCATTCTTATTTTGTGAACGTAATGGAAACTTGTCATTAATATTTTTGAGCTCAGCATCATCAAATTGGAGTTTTTTTGCAAATTAGCAGAATTTTTATTGAGTTGCAGGGCTGTGTAATATCCCTTTCTCTCTGAGGTCATAATTTGGTTTTTCTCGACTATTTTTCGCCTGACAGGTGTTCTTGACCGGTAAGTCTTCGATGTAATCCTGTCCTTGTGATGTGTAGGACGTTCTTGTTTTCACATGAACGTGTAATTACCAGAAACGAGATGAGAATCACGTGCTTGAAGAGAGGCTGTGTTTTCTGTGGAATCTCTGAGACAATAGCTGCGTTCATCATCATCATCATCATCATCATCAGGCTGAAGAATGAGGAAAACTCTCGGAAACTTCCCACTTCCCTGAAGTCATAATTACCAGTTTGTCCTGTTCAGGTGCTTTGTTTTCAGAAAGTACAGGAATCAACAAGGAAATTATTAAAGCCTGAAAATATTCAACCAATATCCAGTGGATTTTGAATAAAATGTAGCATCTCATTCGTTGACAGTCATATAGACATAACGTGCACATTTGCACTGCAAAAAATGATTTTTTTACTTAGTATTTCTGTCTAGTTTTCTAGTATAAATATCTAAACATTCTTGAATCAAGATGCATTTACTGTACAAGTAAAATGATTTAAGATATTAAGTCTTGTTTTCTAAAAAAAAATATCAAAATTATGTTAGTTTTTGCTTAAAACAGCATTTGTTTGACTGAAACTTCAGAATCATCAGTAGGATGACTATCTAGATACCCTGGTGAATGTAAAGGCTGCACACTGCAAAAAATTATTTTCTTAGTATTTCTGTCTTGTTTTCTAGTATAAATATCTAAACATTATTGAATCAAGATGAATTTACTGTACAAGTAAAATGACTTTTGTTAGTTTTTCCTTAAAACAAGCAAAAATATCTGCCAATGGGGCAAGAAATATAATCTTGTTTAGCGTTTGAATTAAGATTATTTTTCTTACCCCGCTGGCAGATATTTTTGCTTGTTTTGTAAAATTGTCA